TGACTTGTGCCATGCTCTGATCGTCCCAGGACGATCCAAAATCGGCCCAGACGATCCTACTCCAGAAAATCAGCTGTATTCACTGCACTGATCGTCCTGAACGATCTCAATATCGTCCCGGACGATCCTGGGAGGAAAATCAGATCCATAAAGGAAAAATCAAAGGAACGAGCTCTCACAAGGCAAATACAAAAGGGCTACGATAAATACAAACTTCTATGAGGTACTATTGAAGATCCATGCATCATGCATCCAAAAATGCCCCAACACATCTACATACAATATATATACATGTAAACACAAAAGTGCATATGCAAGCACATTAACTTGTATACATATAATAATATACACCCGCATGGCACTCTATCAGCTAAGGTAGATTCAATTTTGTCCCCTTAGATAAATATCCACCCCAGATCTACAAGGTACCCTTAGATGATGCAACCGAAGGCTGATGAAAAGGATCCTTCTATTATGCGGGGTCGACTACTTCCTCTAACTAAGTAGACAAGGACCATGATGGCCCTAGATGATGGAACCATTGGATCTTAATTGGGCTTATCATCACTCCCCCCACCATATGCTTTAAGTGTAAGATGGTGAAATTTTTAGTTTTAAATATCAAATCTTCAAACACATAAATGAATGTTGCTACTATCTGTTAGATATCACATATTTATGGACACGATGTATTCATTTGATGACTAGCCTTAATAAAAAGTTCTCTCTCGTTATAGGGAGAGGTAATTAACTATAGGGACTTGTGCCTATAGGATACTAGAACTCCAATCATAAAGTCCTCACAAAATGAGGGGGAAATCTCTAGGTAGTGTCTTATCTTCAAACCCAATCTGCCTTCTAAAAATTTACCCTGAGATCTAATTCGTTAAAACTCCCTTGAAAGAAGAGGGGAGTCTCGGGCACGAATTTTAAGAGCTCACACATTCATAGATATATAAAGAAGCAATTTTTTTGGTCGATATAAAGAGAACTAATACTATGATATTTAAATAAGGATCCTAATTTAGGTAAATAAGATAATTAAACTTTTTGATATTAAAATAAATAGCTGATAAGCACTACTCTAAGCTATTATCCTCTTTGAGAGTTTTTATACTCTTGGATTGAATGCTTATATGAGCATAAATCCCCATGTTTTATTAATCTTTTTTTTTTTTTTTTTGAATAAAACTCTCAATTAAGGATATTTTGAGGCTTAGAATTGACTTATATTTTGTATGACTTCATAGATTATAGTTACACTTGTTATTCTTACTTTAAATGTCGATTGTTAATTTTGGGCTCATATGAGATGGAATAGATGATGTCAAATTTTTTCGAGTTCATATGGTTCCAGCTTCATGGAAACACAAGCTACTCATTAAAGGACATTAGTACTATTTTTAAAGGGAAAATAATGCTTTTAATGGATCCCATTCTAAATAGTTTGAAGACATTAGTCCTTTTTTTTTAAATGATAGGAGTATTTGATTTTTAGGGCCTTGTTAGGAAACACAAGTTACCTCATTAAAGAGACATTATTGACCATAGAATGGAAGGGTTAAAAATAAAAAAAGAGACCAATTTCATGCAAATCTCTACTAACAAAAGCTTTACCATTTTGAAATGCATCAAACAACTCATAAAATCACAAATATAGCTATTGGGAATTTTTTTTTTTAATATAGGATCTTATTTTCTTCTTAAGGGGCACATCTTAGGTAATACTAACCAAATTAAATTTTTAACATAATCTTATTGGCATAGGTGATTTGAATTTGTTCCATTATATCAAATTAGCATGACATTAGCTTTTTTGTAAGCTTTAGCTGACTTTGACTTTGACTTTGACTTTGACGTCTTTAATAATTATTAAGTGAAAGGGCGAATTACAACTTTGGTAGTGTCTTATTTTCAAACCCAATCTGCCTTCTAAAAATTTACCCTGGATCTAATTCGTTAAAACTTACCTGAAAGAAGAGGGGAGTCCCGAGCACGAATTTTCAGAGCTCACACATTCATAGATATATATAGAAGCAATTTTTTTTTGTAAATATAAAAAGAACTTATACTATGCTCTTTAAATAAGGCTCCTAATTTATGTAAATAAGATAATTAAACTTTTTGATATTAAAATAAATAGCTGATAAGAACTACCCTAAGCTATTATCCTCTTTGAGAGTTCTTATACTCTTGTCTTGAATGCTTATATGGGTATAAATCCCCATGTTTATTTATTTATTTATTTATTTTGGATAAAACTCTCAATTAAGGATATTTTGATGCTTAGAATTGACTTATATTTTTTTATGGCTTCATAGATAATGGTTAAACTTGTTGCTCTTACTTTTTAATGTTGATTGTTTATTTTGGGCTCATATGAGATGGATAGATGATGTCAAATTTTATCGAGTTCATATGGTTCCAGCTTCATGGAAACACAAGCTACTCATTGAAGGACATTAGTACTATCTTTAAAGGAAGAATAGTTCTTTTAATGGATCCCAATCTAAATAGTTTGAAGACATTAGTCTTTTTTTTATTATTTGATATCATATATATGGGCCTGATGATGACATGTCTTGGTGATAAGTTCAAGGTCTCCAACTAAGGATTGAACTTGCATACTTATAGTTTTTTTTATTTATTTATTTATTGCATACTTATAGTTTTTTATGTTGTTTATGAAAGTCAATATTATTGAATATGTCTTTTACATGAGTAACATTGCTTGATATTTTTTATTAGGGTTCACTGGTCCATAATTATAATGTTTAGCAAAAATTAGAGATTGTTCCTAGGCCAACCTCAGAATTTAAGTAAAAAAAAATATTCTTATCAATTTAGTGATATGTGAACTCTATGGTGTTGGCCTTACTACCTTCTATATAGCATGTCATCAATATTTTATAATCTCAAGCTAATTTATGTTTTAACACATGATTAGAGGTAGGATATGTAATGAGCATATACGTGAAAGGGTGGAGGATAAGATTAGAGAGAGACGCCTTAGAAGGTTTGGTCATGTAAAACGATGGCCTTCTGATGACCCGATTAGGAAATAGAGGTAATAGATTTGGCTTATTTTAAAGAATATTGGTAGACAAAAAAATATTTGGTTAGAAAATATTAGAAATGACATTTATTTATTAGATATAAATGTGAATTTTGATCTTAGCAAGACACAATGGAGAAATATGATTCATGTAGCCCACCCTACTACAGGAAAATCACACATTACCGGTGAATTTTTCGACAAAAAATTGTTAATTTTCTAGCGATTTGAAAGTTTTCTGGTGGAATAAATTTCGATGGTAAAACAAGCGCTGGAAATATTTTCCGTTGAAAAAAACCTCCAAAAAATTTTTCCAGTGAGATGTCTAGCAGAAAAAGGCCGTCGGAATAAATAAAAAAATTAATTAAAAAAAATGACGGTACAGCTGCCCACAGCAGCTAATAGCTTGCCTTCTAGGCCTGCTTGCACACGTTGCCCGCCTGCCCATCCGCGCTGCCTCGGCTGCCCGAGCGAGCCTGCACGCTCACGGTACCTCGCCTGCCCATACGCGCCGCCTGGGGTTAAAATTATTAATTAATGAAATTATGAATATATAATTTTTTTCAGAAATTATTAAAATCCAGTTGAAATAGATTTGCCGGAAATTTGCCAGAAAATCTTCTTGAAAATCGGTCGGAAATATTTCATCTTTATCCGTTATAAAGTCGCCGAAAAATCTGCCGTAAAATAGTTTGCCTGAAATTATCACATGTAGCTTTTTGTATTAGTTTGAAGGTTAAATCTCAATCGTAGTGTTCCAGTAGTCCTTTAATTTGATTGTGGATTATACATAAGTTTGTGAGTGAATGTATCAACTAATTTATCTACAAAGAACATTTTAAACATATAGCTATTGTATTAGTTTTGGCAATATACCTCATACCCCTAATGAGAGAAATAATAGTTAGTGTGCTAAACTAATTATGTCATACCAAAAGGGCATACATATGTGGTATCGAGCACTTAGGACAGTTTTGATGACCTCATCATCATACAAGAAAAATATCTAGTACTAGCTCAATTAATCAAAGATCTATAATAGTTATTTAACCTACCAAACTCTCAATTATTTAGTCGAGGAGATAGTAAAAAGAAGCCTCCCTACCACACACAAAAAAGGTGGATGCAAGTGGCACCACTGATCTAAGCTCCATAAGGGATAAAGTAAACCACTAGGAATCGATGTATGTAGCACAAAGGCGTCAACAACTAAAAGAAGATCGGCATAAATGAGTTCCAGCATAAAAACTCTCCTTTATGCCTAGTTGAATGTTTGACTACAATGATGAGGCTTTGTCTTACACTCTTTAGCCTTATCTCTTTTCTTCCTCGCCCTAAATGTAATGATTTAGGCGCGTTAGAACTAATTTATTCAGCGAGATAAGGCCACTATAGTTGTAAGGCTAAAGACTTTAGCTTACTAAGGATATGATTCAATTCAGCTTAAAAGAGATATTAATAAAGATATTGCAAAACCTGAAACTATATGTAATTTAGTTATGAATTATTGTGTCAGAAATAAATTTTGAAATTTGAAGCGGGCATTATAATGTTTTTCTTAAAACTATTATAATTATTAAAGTTATTTCTCCTCGTAATTTTTTTTTTTTAAGAATAGCCAAAAATATTATATTCAAATAGTAGTATAATGATAGCAGTATGTAAAATTAAGGCGTGAAAAAGTTAACCTGAGCACATCCTAATTATAAAAGAAAATGCATACTTTGTAGGACATCGAAGCCTAGAAATAAAAAGTTGGGATTTTGCATGAATTGTTCATATCATATCATATGTGCGAAAACATCTCCATGAATTAAGCTTATTTAGATTATTATTATAAATAAGATTTTTTTTCTGATGATTTAGTTTATTTAAGTATTTATTAGATCAATCCCTATTGTTATTGTCTATCTGAATGAGAATTCACTGTGTATTTTTTTACACAGTTTGTACACATTGTGTATACTAACATGTACGAACGTAACTCTACGTCCGGACTCTGCAAGTAATAATTTCTCCTTCCCAACTCTCTGTGCATAGCAAAATTATCATGTGCGGTCACCGGACGTCGTTCGAAAGGCAATCAAGACGTGTCATATCACCAATACATTTGTTATCGTCACTATGTACAGTTGTGTATCAGGTGACGTGGCGCATTATGATTAACCTCCAAACAGTTCGGTGACCACTCATAATAAATTCTCCTATGTATATGCCTAACCTATAAATGCCTCGGTATCAGGGCTGTAGCAGTTGTCGCCAGCTTTTTTGTCCAATTCTCCCCACTAAGACTAGCTTTACAATTGCCGACAATAATACTAGCCTTACTGTTGGCTTGTGCTGCACTACCTCGTTGCATCTGTATGCCACTATCAACAGCTGCTGCTCCATTGATCTAACTCCTACGTTGGATCCTATTATTGCCACAACATTCAATAAAGAAAATTAATCATTCTTTTCTCTTTGGTCATCTATGGATTTGGATAACTAAAGGTTAAATGCTAAATATATGCATAAAATTGAAGCACTCGTATAAATCCTTTGGCTAAAGCTAGGAATTCATTTATTAAAGAAATAACTAGCTCATTTAACTTTATGATTGTTCAATTTGATTAATGGTATTTTAGAGAAATGTCTGCATAGTTGAATAGTTTTTACTAACACAATACATTTTGTTATATGTGGTAATTTTGCCATCAGCTTCTAATTCCAAACATCTAAGCCACATAAGCTATTCTTAGGGTTTGTTTGAGACAACATCATCATTGCTTTATTTTTTAAACAAAAAATCGCATGTGTTATTTAGCAATAGTACTTTTTTTAGCTACTTTCTTAAAATTTTTTGCATTTAGAAACAATTATTTAAAGAAAATTTGCTAAAGTGTGATTAGAGTTGTAAGCGAACCAATGCATTCGATGAGCAACCTGAACTTAACTCAATTAATACTCATTCAAATTTGTAATTAAACATGTTTAAGCCCTTCTTAAAAACGTAAGGTTAAATGGACCAAGTTTGGATACAATCCAACTCGTTTATTTATATTTTGAACTAGCTTTTTTGTGGTTCAATAACTTGATAAAGATTTGATATTAATTAATGATTGATCATGTATAATTTATTTAGATTTTGGTTAAATATAATTGGTTGAATTAAAGATATTTTAAGATTAATTATCAATCATACATTTATTTTATTAGCATTGGTTTGTTGGGGCTTCTTTCTCTATTTTAGTAGTCTCCAGTTCTGATCCCCTTTCCACTTCTTAGATAAACTTATCATTTTTCCAATAGCCTTTAGGTTGTAGGCTCACGTCTACATCAGGTTGCCCTTCACAATGATCTCCTTTCCTCCAATAGAAAACTTGACTACCACATCTTATTAGAGATGACCACCTTAAAATTATTTATGAGTGGTTGCCTGAAAATCACATCATAGGGTGGGTTCACCCACGACCATTAAGTCAACTATTGTCAAGTGCGAGTCACCCTTCCCCCCATGACATGGGTAGGGAGATCATCCCCTCAATGTCTCACCACTCGTCTAGAAAACAATATACATGAGGTGGAGGTGAGTTGGGAAGCAAGCGATTTCAATTTTATCATAAATAAATTTAAAAAATTATGTTAATGGAATTCCTCATGACAATGATGATGACAATGACCTAGTAAATGTTAACTATAATGGTGACTACCATAATGTTGTTGAAGGGGTTTCCACTTGTTGGCTTGTTTTCTTTGATAAAGATGATCAATAAACTTCAGTCATTTGAGTATTCAGGGCATGCTCGTTGAATTGAATTCTCCCGTATGATGACATTTGTGACTCTCCCCCTAATACATCTTATTTCTATCTATTCAGAAGACAGAGGGCACCACCCTAGTGATGTGGATGATGTGTGCATGAACTAGCTTATTTCGTAACTATTTTCAAGTGCCTCGCTTGTTCGCATTCGTGGGTCAACTAAGACAAATTCTATTTTTTTTTAATTTGTTTTTTATTTTTATTTTTATTTTTTCTTTTATCAAATCCTATTTGAAACTTCAAGGGTGACTGCATTCTTCTATGTCATGCCCATGCACTTTTTGAAACATATAAATTTTTTAGTTGTCCATGGCTTGAATGCCCGCCTTCATTAGTGATAGACATTTGAAGAACTCCTTGTTCTTAATGGCCTCCGTAAACTTCAACATTAACACTCCTAAGGAAGTGTTGGCCATATAATGATGAGTGAGGTGTGCCACATCATGTCTATATAGGAAAGTTTCTTATGATGCTTTCTCCATTTGTGAGGCAAGCGATTCCATGATTCTTAGTGGTCTCGCTATCAAGTGGCATCTAATTGCTATCTTCACATTGGTCTTGTTATACATGTTTCTTTCTTTGTACTCGGCAAACCATCAAAATACTCCTATCATACCAACAATTTTGGTGCTAATTATGCTTTGTCGGTAGCTCATTTAGCTGAATGGTTGAGGAAGAATCAACCATGCTATTATATATGGTGAATTTTAACAACTTGGCCAATATTTGTAGTTTCTTTAGACAAAGAATGTTCATAAATGGTTTTTCTCTTAACCATTGAGTTAGCATGGTTTGCATAATTGAGAGTTCAATGTTCTTGAATTCTAATATCTATCTTTGAAACCTATTAATGAAGAACTTTGATGACTCCTTTAGTTCCTATTTCGTCTTCAAAAGAAACTTGTGAACTCTTTGGTGGCATCTTAATTGGCATTCAAAATTTATGTAATGTAAATTCTCTTAAGCTCAGAGAAGGATGTGATAACACCTCATGGTAGGCGTGAAAAGAACCGAAAGTAGACTCTTTAATAGTGGAGAGTAATAGTCAACGCTTACTCCTCACCACTTTAGTGTGTCATTGATTTTCATCAATGAAATTGACGACTTAAAGTAAGCAAGTGGATTCTTTTAAGTATTCAAGTGGATTCTCATTTATAATCTCTCTAACTCCATCCTCCTTAGTCTCCTATGGCAAGGGATGCATGCTTCTTCACTAGTATGGGGTGGCAGTGGATAACAACTAGTGTTGAAGTTAGCACCCTTGTGTCGAGTCATCTTCAATGGGTTGACAAATTAGAACTTTTGAGAGTAATCTCTCTCTCTCTCTCTCTCTCTCTCTTGGCATCTCTCTATACTCACTCTGACCAGTATGGATCATCTTATAAGTAATTCTCTCCTCCATCTCCATCAAATTGTTGTAGGCTTCAAAGTTATGGTTCTTCGTGCTCACTAATGACTAATGGCTTTGTTTCTATTCATATGTGCCTATCTTCTAGCTCATTCCACCTTTATGGAACCTTACAAGATGTTGTATCCAAATTTGTTTATGGGTAACACCTGACTCTATTAACATGCTCAACAAGCTATAGTGAGACAACCAAGTCAGAGAATTAATGAGAATGGAGAGTAGTTGAGAAGTTAAAAGATATTTATGAACAATATAAATAGCATGAAGCCCTAAAAATATCTCCCTAAAACTTTATTTGTAGGATTATATGGGCTATAAGAAAGACTAAGTCTAGAAAAAATGAAATAATAATCACATGGATTGAACTTAGTGGTGCAAACTTAGCCCTCCATCTCTAATATGGCCCTTTGTCTTTGATGTGCTAACATGGCTCTTTGGGCTAAACCTCGAGTCCTTTTGGTGAGCATGATTGTGCATAGGGGAAAATCATTGTCGATAAAGTCATGATCATGATTTTTGTAGGTATATGTTCCCTCTAGCCACATCTTTTAGCCAAGCATATAATTAGATACCTGTAAGCTACCTATGTGGACATGTATAAACATACAAAAACTATTTTGAAAATTAATAATGATAATGTATATTTAGTATATTAAGGCTATTTGGTTAAAACAAATAGTCCTAAGAAGTTGTTAGATGGAAGTAAAAAATAAAGTTATGAATTAATTAATTACAAAAAAAAAAAAATTATAAAATTACAGAGCTCAAATCCTACCGATATTTATTTGTGTTCGTGCATTCACCATAAAAAAAATCTGGATTAAAGCAGCTACTTATGAGGATAAATTTGCAGTACATTGGGCTTCTTTTTTAGTTCAAAAGCTTTTGACCAGAGCATTATTTTTCTTAAAAGGAATGCCTTTTAGTGATATATATTATATCGAAGAATATCCTTCAATTAAATAACAATACTTTTATTTATTTTTTATTGAAACTAAAGTATATTTATAGAGAGTAATGTCAATAAGGCTACAATTTATGATCCAAAGTAAAGTGGAATGGGACAAATTACTTTTATAATTCTATTTCAACCTTTGGTTTGAATTAAAAGATCAAACAATTGAATAAAATATAAATAATTCCATAAAGATATATGAAATATATATAAATTTGTCTTTTTTTTATTTCTATTTATAAAAAATCCTTTGTGAAAGGTGGCTACAAAAATTTTTACCAACTTTGTTCAATCCCCCACTTGCCAAATCAGCTCTAAAGCCAACTCTTTTGTAGCTAACAATTCCTTGAGAAATTATTAGGTGTAAGCAATGTACCTTTCTTTACATTTAGAGCCAATAACAAGTGGGAAAATTGGAGTCAAAGTCTCTCAAAACCCAATTTGAAAAAAAAAATTGCCCAAGCTTGCTTGATAAGTAATTTAATCATGGAGGAGTATTGATGCAAGTGATAGTTCCTAGAAATTTCCCAAGAATTTTCTAAACCATTCTAGTCAAGTGATCCTTCATTTGCCTCAATTGGACAGTAGTTATGAATTATTATATCTCTACTAACTGAGATACTTCATTTCCTTGTGACACTCTATAGCTTGGCTTCTTATCCTAGGCTACCACACTCATCACACCTTTAAATGTATTAACTTTTTATTCACAAAGATGGCATATTTTCATATTGGATCTTTTTTATATTTATATTGGCCTAAATTCAACATTCTATTTGCCTACCTAATAGTTGAAAAAAAAAATTTAATAGTTGAAACTAATGATTTTTAAAATAAAAAAAGAATGACCTAATATCTATGACAAAACAACTTAGTAGAAAATATGTATTACCTTGCCACTTCATTGGAATTAGTTTCACATATTGTCACGGGACCTAGTATTTTCCTGCAAAATGTTGTATTGTAATTTAATCAAATATTTAAGTTTTGTTTGAGATAATTTTCTTATTACTTTCAAAAATAATTTTTCACTAAAAATTTTCTTTAACTAAAATTTTTTGTACTAAAAAAATTATTTTATAAAATCTTAATCAGCAAACATCTTACTATGTCTTAATTTACTGAAGAAAAATGACTCACCGCACTACCTCAAATGTATTAAATATGTGGATAGAACCCATCATAAAAGGTAAACAAATCAGAAGAGCATCTGAATAAATAAAGTCAGACTTTATTCCCAAAGCTTGCTAACCAAGAGTTAGAAACGCTAGAAGCTTCATGCATCAA